TGGAAATTTTGAGAAAAAGTCAAAGTTACCTGGCTGGTATAGCTCAGTGGATTGAGCACGGGCCTGAGAACCAGACAATCGAGGTTCGATTCCCAGTCAGGGCACATACCGGGGTTGCAGGCAGGTTCCCTGCAGGCCAGTTCCCAGCAGGGGATGCATGAAAGGCAACCCTACATTGATGTTTCTCTCCCTCTCTCCTTCCCTTTCCCTCTAAAGATAAATAAATAAAATCTTAAAAAAAAAGTCAAAGTTATGGGAGAAGTGAAACTGAAAAGTAAAGAAGATTAAGGCCTAGTTCCTTGGACATACTACCCTTCATTTTCCATCTTTGATTCCAGTTCTAAGGATGGAAGGATTGTAATTATGAACTTGACTTTTCAAAGTGTCTTAGATTAAAAGAAGTTAATGGAACCTTGGAACACCCGAGCCCAGGGCTTGCTGCCTCGGTCCTTCCATACCATAACCTTCCAGGGATGTCCTACAGTTGCACAACAAATAGAGCACAGGCTTCTCAGGGTGCCACCTGTTGGAGGGGGCCAGGCTGAGATGGGTGGGTCTCTGCAGGGGTCTTATCGGGGCTTTGCATCCTGGAAGGCGTCCAAGGTAGCAATAGGTCTGGGAAACCGAACTGGCGGACCGAGTACTTGGAGCAGAATGGAACAGGAAGGAGGTGCTGAGGGCTAGCCCATTTCAGGGCCAAGAGATAAGGCAAGGACCATTATAAACCACAGCAGCAGGTGACAATCAAGGGCCCTGACAGTAGCAAGACTGCCCAGCAGGTGAGGAGGGCGGGACCCAAGGGATTCTGGGTGGACTGTGGTTCATGGGCAGCAAGCAAGCTCTGGAGAGGACACTTGGTGGGTTTAATAACTGGAACTCAGGGTCAAGGGTCAAGGCAGGTGAGTTGTAACAACTGAGGAAAACACAAAGAGGCTCTGGTGTGTAGGAATGAGGCAAGAAGTACCTTAAATTGAACTCCAGAATAGGTAGCTGGTTGTCCTTGAACACTCTGTGCTAAGTAAGGAGTGGCCCCAGGAGCCAGGGAGGCCTCTCAGGAAGGAGAAGCAGGCAGACGAAATCTGGGAAGCAGCCTCAGTTGGAGAGGAAAGACAGATCCCGGCCTGGAGATGAGGCCCAGCAGGCAGGAGAGAAGGGGCAGCTTCGGCAAGGCCAGCCGTTGCCCGAGAGTCACTCAAAGAGCAGTGGTCTTGACAAAGAACTTCTGGGCCACTCGAATGTGTTTGATCAGCCCCACTACCGGACAGAACCTTTGGGGCTCTAGGGGCCCCAAAATTAGTGGCTGACCTCAGCCAGTGGAGAGAAGGATGAACCTCCTCCTCTAGTAGGAATCTGTGGTATCTCTGAAGGGTCAACCCTGTCTTCCACCCAGGTTCAAGGTCCTTCTGGAGAATGTGTACCTTTCGGGAGCTCTACCAGGTCAGCTTTGGAGCCAGGCTCCCCAGGGAGCAGCCCATTCCTGGTGGCGCGGGTGTCTCCACCCTCCGAGGCTCTGGACACCGGGGCGCTTGGCAGCCTGTAAATGGTGTCTGTGCACGGTCAACGTTCTCCAGTCATTGTCACCTGTCCCTGCAGCACTGCTGTTTCTAGGGGTTTGCTGGCCAACAGCTACACTGGATGGGAAACCCACAAAGAGGAAGGAGAGAAGCATGAGGAATTTTTGCTCTTTCCTGTTCTTATGCACTGCCCGTCACCAACCATGCTGATAAAAAATACCTTGAATTTCACTACTCGTGCCCCTCTGCCCACATCTGGTTGCCTTCCCCGATGCTAAACACACAGGGACGCAGCTTCACACACAGCCGGAGCGTGGCCGTGCTGCAGGGGGGCTGTGGGGCAGAGGAGGGCGGCTTCGCCACCGGGTCCAATATCTAAAAACAGTGTCCACGTGATCAAACCGTAAACACGGACGCCTGCAGGAAGGCAAGGAGACGCAGCCCCACGGACTTTCTGCAGGCAGATTTTCTGCTCTTCCAGACCATCAGCGATGAGGAAGGGATGGTGAAGAGTGAGGCGCTGGGTAGGAGAGGACAGGGAGGGGGAGGAGAGACCTTGGTTCCAACAGATTTTTCTTCTCTAAATGCTTATGATCAGAGCCCCCAGTGAGGCTTCCAAGGCTTCAAATACTTAGATGTGGCAATGGCTATTTTTAACAGAACGATGCCAATTTTGAATTGCAGTTCTGAGGGCAGTGGAATAACGCTAAGTGGCTCTTCTGCTGGCCACAGAATGTTTTTACTGAGAAGGCAGGCAAAAGTAGTACTAAATGTTTAATGTTATCGCTCACATACTGGTCTTAGGTTCAGTCTAGCACAAAGTCATCTGCATGCACGGGAACCTGCTTTGTTGCATGTCAAGGCGATTTATATAATTAGCATGCACACTATATTCATGTCCTTTTTCTTGAGAGTCTGACCTAATTTTATTATTAAAACGATCATAGAAAGGAACAGCGTTTGGCCCTGAGTTTATCCCAGGGATAGCTTGGTTTCGGATTTGCCGGGTCCTGCAGTGGTGTGGACCGCCACACGCTGTCAGTGAGAGGCGAACCTTTTCTCTCTGTTCTCTGTCCATCCTCCTCACCAGCAGGAAGTGGCCTTGCGGGGAGGCAGGGCTGATGAGCCGTGGTGGGGGCCCGAGGAGGAGGTCAAGGGGAGATCGCAGAGAGTTGGAGGGGATTGACAGCCAGGCCATCTCTAGTTGGTCCGGAGCAGGTGAGGACGGCGAGGTGGGCCTGGCGGGAGTGGCTGGGTGGAATGATGGGTTAGGGTAAGGTTGGGGAAGACTCTGGAAGTCAAGTTGAAGAGCTTGGATTTTATTCTAAAGGATCTAGGAAAGCCTAGCTTCAGATCATGTTTTGAAGATCATAGCTCGAAGTGTTAACGGGAGGACCAGACCAGAAAAGGTGAGAAGCAGGGAGACATTTCCAAGGCCACTGACGTAACCCGGACTAAAGGAGAGTAAGCACCCGCCCCAGGAGGAAGGAAGGATGGAGAAATAGCGACAGACTCTTCCACGGCGGGGGCAGGCCGACAGCCTGCGGGAGCTGGTGAGGGGGGTGGGGCGGTTGAGCAAAACGTTTGAAAAAGAGAAAACCCTTGCGGAACCTTGACTGGGGGTGGCGAGCACACAATACACTGTGTCGCAGCGTTTACGTCCGAAACACGTAGAGTTTTGTTAACCAGCTTGACGCCAATAAACTCAATAAAAAAAGGCCTTAGGGAGAATGGGACTTGGGACAACTGCCCGAAATCCACCCTTCCTTCCTCTCTGCCCCCTGCCCCAGGGGCAGTGCCACCAGGGACAGCGGAGGGTCCTTCTCACACCAGCCCCACCCGGAATTGTGGTGCGACAGTGGGTGTGTCCCTGCTCGGCCTGTTTGCTGTGCAGGCAACACACGCTCAGTAGAGAACCTTCGGGAAACACACCCAAAGGGGAACCAGAAAAATCAAAACCGATAAATCCCAACCACGCCGCTCACAAAATGAGGACTCTTAACATTTATGGTATATTTGTTTTTACTCTATTCTCTAGGCATTGAGTTTTTTTCAAAAAGATTTTATTTATTTACTTTTAGAGAGAGGAAAGAGGGGGAGAGAAACATTGATCAGTTGCCTCTCGCAGGCCCCCCGCTGGGGACCTGGCCCGCAACCTGGGCTTGTGCCCTGAGTGGGAATCAAACCAGTGACCTTTCGGTTCACAGGCTGGAGCCCAACCCACTGAGCCACACTCAGCCAGGGCTGAGCTGTACTCTATTTTCCATTTACCTAAGGAATTTTCCATATTACATGAAAACCGTGGTTATAAATACCATTTTATTGACTAGACAGTAGTTTCCCAGTGATAAACACCATAATTTACTGAACTGTTCTCTTCTGGACATGTAAGCTATTTCCCCATTTTCGCTACCATAACAAGCCAGTGGAATAAACATCTTTGTGCGCAAAGTGAGACAATAGCTAAGACTCATTCCTGGGAATAAATGGATGGAGGGGAATCACAGGGTCAAAGGGCATAGTGCTTCCAAAGCACTTCACATATTTCAAAATTGCTTTCTACAAAAGTTCAACCAATTTGCACTTATTCTAGAAAAGAATGAAAATGCCTCTCACGTTGCCATCACTTGGTTAATACTCGAAATAACCTATACTTAGAAAAACGCTCTGATAAGTGAAGGTGGTGTCTAGAATTTCACCCGCATTTTCGACTGTAGGTTTGTTGCACGTCGTCCCATGACTGGCTTGCTGCCAGTTCTAGCTCCTCTTCTCCAAGTTCATTACCTGGGGCCCCTGCCTCAAATCTGCCGCTGCCTCAACTTCCCTGACCCACCCCCACTAATTGGTATGTGCCACTAATAAGCATTTGCACCCTTTGTCTGCTGTGGAAAAAAAACACCTCTTTTCATTGTTTGTCTTTTAAATGTTGATGGTTTCTTTTTTGACATCAAATATCTAAATTTTTAAACAGTTGAATCTATCGATCAGTCATTTTCTTAAAGATTTCTTTTCTCTGCTAAACACAGCCAGTCCTTCTCAGAAGATTGATAAATATTTCACTTAAGGGTATTTTCATGGACAAATTACCCCCAATCTTGCCTTCTCTCTAGAATACAGACAGACCCTCCCCGCTTTGTGAGGCAGGGTGGGTTTGAGGGGAAGAGGGGCACGTTCTGGGTCAGACCAGCTTTTCAAGGCCCCAGACGGCGTGCGAGGGCTTCTGGATGGAGACACAGGGTACGTGGATGCTGGACGGGATGCTCCCGGGAAGCCAGCGTCCCCTTCTTCCCAAACCTTGTGGATAGCGTCAACTTTTATTCCCCTTTAGAAGAGCTCATGGGACCCACTCCTCCATCCCAATCCGCGTTCTGCCAGCCCACTCGGTCATCCCGTGCACTGTCATTTTCATAGGAGGACCCTGTGCTTTATTCTAAAAATGTAACACGGTTTCGGAAAATATTTTCTCCACGTTCCCATACGACTTACCCATATCGATGACGACCCACGTCACGAATGAGCCTCTCGGAGAGGTAAGCGCCGATCCGGTCCAGCTTTTCTGGAGCCGAGAGGGCGTAGAAGGTCAGCTTCTCCATGTTGGTCTTCACCAGGCCATCCTGTAAAAGACAGACCATCCCTGCTCTCCATGGGCCCACTATGGCCAGAAGGGTTCGAGTCTCAAGGTAAATATTAACTCAGTTTAATTGACATTTAGCGGAGTGCCATTGTGTGTTTGACGGAGAACATGCAGATTTCAGGGGTACAGAGATGACTGGGACAGAATTCCTGCCCCCCAGGAGCTCACAGCTGAGCCCAGAGTTTGTCAGCTGTGACTGAAACTACTAAGTGATGTAAATGAACACCTGTCCTGTGTGTGTATGTGTGTACCTACATGCATGTGTATATAGGTACCTGTGTGTGCATGAATGCTTCATGGAAAGTGACTCGGAAGTAGAAGGTGTTGGATATCCAGCCCCAAGAAATGAACAGAGAGAAGGCAGCTCTGTAACTCAGGGGATTCTCCCGAGGGTGCTGGAATGTGGCTGCCCAACCACCCAGCACGAAGAGGCCACTGATTCCCAGAGAGCAAGCTGAGCACATGGGATCTGACATTCCCGAAACCACACAGGGAATAATGCAGCCCGATGGGGGAGCCAAGAAGCCAGATGTCCTGTGTGAGCACACCCAGACACCTGGCAGACTCCTGGTAGACACCTGGCAGAGGGAGCTGGGAGACAACCTGGGCTCCCGAGCCAGACCCCAGGAAGGAAGGTGCTCACGCTGAACAGCAGGAAATGGTACCACTGTGAGAGTTAGCAGAGTGAGCAGCTCCAGGGACTGTCACCCAGAGAGCCACGAGTGACAGCGATGTCTCAGTTTGTTCAGCAACATCCAAACGCACGCCAGAACCAACTTTCAGAGCCCTCTGCAGACTCTGACTTCAGGGAGGTCTCGATCCCCCAGCGGCTTCTCGGAGGGGCCTGGGACGAGGAGCCCCGGAGGCCCACCCTCCCCCGCTGCCACCCTCAGAAGCCTGGATGGGCTGAGATGGAAAGAATGAGCACAATGCCAGCCGGAGACATCACGCACCTCGGGGTCCTCCGGGAAGATGTTGTCCACCAGCCGTTTGTACCTGGGGCGCAGGGCACCACAGCAGCCACACACACCTGGAACGTCAAGGAGAGAAGCGCGTGAGCACAGCCCCCGGGCCGGGCACAGGTGGCTGGGGAAGCAGGCCAGGGTGGTTTGTGAGGAGCCAAGGCCGCGCTGGACACAGAGAGGCCCCTCTGTTGGAGTGCAGGGTCCGTCTCCCCCAGGGTGGCATCTCCTACCACTTCCCCAAAACACTCGCCCTGCCAGCTTTGTGTCTTTTGCTTGAGGTCGCACACAGTGTCCCATGTAAGGAGGATGCCAGCCAACCAGCACCTGTACATGGCGCCAGGCCACGGAGGAGCGTTCTGAGGGGGGAGGCCTTGGAGTGGGAGCTTACCTACAGGTCAGCCGCTGCCCCCAGGTATTCCGCTGTTACCTGCACACGCACGCACACGCACGCACACACACGCACACTGCGAAACCGAGATGGGGCTATAAAACTGCCTCCCGCCTCGCAGGAACCTGCCCCGGCCCCAGGAGATGGGCACAGCTTGGTGAGTGGCAGCTCTTCCCACGCTGCCCCCTCACGTGCTCCCCACTTCTTTCCTTGCTGACGCCTCCATTTTCTCTCCCACTCTCTCTCCAGGGACCATTTCCATTATAGGATGTTAGGTGGAACTGGGATAAATTAACGTTACCATTAATTATTAACATTTGAAAATGCATCTTTGAGGCAGCGCGTCAGCAGTGTTTGGAAACCATGGTGTTGAGAGCTGGGTGAGGCCTCGGGGCCGGCCGTCTGTGCAGCTCAGTGCTGGCTGCCACCACCCACCAGGCTGTGGCCCAGCGAAAAATGGGACAGGCTTTTAGAAAGCTTTTGGTGCTGTGAAATGATAGTGCTAGGAAATCAATGAGAATAAAACATTGGGAAAATAAAACTTTTGGGGAAAAGCCAAAGTTGACCATTTTAGGTCAACTTCCCTCCATCAAACGTTTTGAATGGACAGAGAAAACAGAGCGGTGAGGAAGCACTGCTGATCTGTAACCCTCCGCAGGAGCAGACCCGCCCCTCCCCCGCCCCCCCCCCCCACTGCGGCCCCCACCCTCCGGCACCACCCAGCACCTTCAGTGCGTGTGGGCAACTGGGCCCTGTCTGGGGAGGAGGGGAGAGGAGAGGAGGGCAGCGCCTGGGAAAGTCTCCTCCCCACACAACTGCCCCCCATTTCTACCAATCAGCACCGAATTCTGCTTGTGCAGACTCTCTACTTGGAATGCAAATACGCCCTGGAAGGACCAGGTCCCTGGGCTGTTCAGAAAAGAACCAAGTGCTTCAGTGGGAATTGCTTTAATCACACAAAGAGCTTCACACAGGGCAGGCGGGGGAGAGGGCTCTGGGGGTTGTGATTGGCTGGGGGGGCAGCATCGGGAGGAAGAAGAACTGGAGATCTGGGCTCTAGGGGTGATTCCCCTCTGAGGGAATAAGGTGTATCCTGGGGGAAGCCCAGGGGCACCCCAAGAGGGCAGGATATCAGACAGCTGGCAGATTCCTGACATCCCTCCCCAGTCCCAGGGCTGGCTGTGTGCCCCCAGCCTCCCTCGGGCCGTGCCCGTGCCTGGGGACGGCAGCTCTCCAGGTTCTGTCCTGCTGGGCTGGCCTGGCGTCCCTGCCCGGGAGAAAGTTGGCGCTGGGTGATTTTTCTTGATAGAACAGCTCCCAAGGGCCACTTGGGCCCCAAAGCCCAGGAGCTAACCTGCCCTTCCGCCAGCATCACCATCAGGGACCCTCTTCCCCAGGTGTCCCAGCAGCTTCCCTCCTCACCGTCCCCTTTGTGTGTTAAGGGCGTGAGCAAATAGAGACACGGAGAAGTTAGGACTTAAAACACCTGTGTCAGTCCCTTCCTCGGACCTTTCTGGAGGGCCCAGGAGCCGGAGCTGTAGTGGACAGGGGCCAGGCTCACGGTTGTCGGAAACCCAGACTCGTTGAAAAAGCACAAGCCCATTTTGGTTGCTTGGGGTGTGGGGACCACTGTGCAGGGCCTGTGGGAGCAGCGGAACTCTTAGTGCTGGGGCGGCGCGGGGCAGGAGCAACTTCCCAAATAAACCTCTGCTTATCACTTGGACATCCCATCTGACCCACCTTAGACACGGTGAAAGTGGTCATGTGGGGAGAGTGATTTTTGGGACCTTGGCCAGATGGCAGAAAGCTCAGAGCAGCACCCCACACTTCCCAGGTGGGTAATCAGAGTCTGACATGGGAGTGAAGGGCTCCTCTCTGATAAGGCAAAGAGCAGGCCCATGAAGCTTCCAACCAGAAGAAGGGGAATTCAGAGTAACCACAAACAGGCCAGGCCAGGGGAGGGATGTGTGTGTGGAAGACAAAGAAGAGAAGACATTGAAAAGTAATCGGAAACAGTTCATTGTTACTAAGTATTAAGGGATACATTTTATATATTCTTTAATCTTGCTTCTGATAGTATATTTTTTTTCTGAGAGAGAGAGAGACATCGATTTGTTGTTCCACTTATTCACGCATTCATTGGTTGATTCCTGTCCGTGCCCCTACCAGGGATCAAACCCACAACCTTGGCATTTGGGGCTGGTGCTCTAACCAACTGAGCTACCCTGCTAGGACCTGATGGTATGTATTCTATATGTCAGTACACAGAAAGAGGTGCAGCTTTAACTCACAGCCATGTGCCTGTAAGAAAAAAACCCAAGCCTTTTAAATTCTGAATCCTTTTATTTCTGAGAGAGCTCTTTATTCCTCCAGCCTCTTACTCTGGGGAGCACAGCTGGCAGGTGTGAAATGGGCCGCCGAGAGTCAATTCACGAAGGAGCCTTTCCTGTCGCTAACATGTTCGTACCTATTTTAAGTTTGAGAGGGAATGTGATATGGCCGACACTGCTGCTTGGGTTACTGAAGAAGTCGCCTCAGTGGGGATTAGCAGGGTGACCAGATTCCCTTGGCTTCCCCAGCTTGAAAACTCTAATTTTGGTTAGCCGTGCCCCAGCAGCCATCCTGCCCCTCCTGCCATCTCCCGACGGCTCACCTGCCCAACGGCAGGGGCCTCCCTGCGCCGAATATGCCCTGTGTGGAGTGTTCTGCCCCGCATCCTCCCGGCGCCCTCACTGCTCGCCCCGTGGAGTCTGCCTCCATGTCACCTAGCTGTGGAGAACCTCCCTGTCCGCCTCTCTCCTTTAATTTACCATCCCTCACCTATTCCTCCTCATGACTCTTTTTTACCTATGGACGCGTCTCTTGTGTGTCTCCTCCACTAGAAGGGAAGTCTCTCGAGACCTCCAGGTGCTTGCAGGACAGTGCTCCCAGGAGGGACCCAGGGCAGCTCGGCAGGAGAACTGCTGGCTCCTGGTCCTGAATCCGGCCCAGCCTCTTCTGGGGCAGCCTTCGCCTAGGACTCTGGAGGCTGGGCACACGGAGCCAATTGCTCTCCAGGACAGGACAGGGAAAGGTGGGGTGGCTTTGGGCGGTGGGTAGCACAGGGTCAGGGTTCCTTCTGCCCTGCCCTGCCACAAGCTGGCTCCCTGCTCACTATGCCCCAGGTGTGGCCTGCAGGCACCACCCTGAGCGTTCATCAGAAGCACCCTTGCACCTCTGAGGAGGGGCCAGAGGTGTTCCGCTCTGATCTGGGCGCACAGCCAGGAGGAGACACGGGCCCAGCTCTCTGCCTGTGTAGCGTGGAACAGCTGCAGCTGGCAGCCCCGTGGGCTCTGGACCCCCCTCTGGCCTGCCAGCAGCATCTGTCTCCCCACGGCTCTCACACGTCGCAGGCCTGTTTCTCGTTTGCTGCCTGCCTGATCCCGCTCGCTGCCTCAGCTAATCTGCGCTAAGCACTGGGCTGAGCGCTTCACAAATATTTCAGGTGATTTTCATAACAACCACTAAGGTATTACTATTGTTCACATTGGACGTGGTAGGAATGATGCCTCCTTGAAAAATGCCTTTGTGCTCAAAATAGCTCATATTTATTTTCTTAACTTTACAATCCCCTTGTAGAGGCAAGGGTCGGATCTGATCATTCCTACCAGAAGCAGGATCAGGCCCTGGCTGGGTGCCTCAGTCGGCTGGAGTGTCATCCGGTACACAAAGCACTGCAGTTTCCATCCCCAGTCAGGGCGCACACCTAGGCTGCAGGTTCGATCCCTGGTCAGCCGTGTGCAGGAGGCAACCAATCGATGTTCCTCTCTCACGCTGATTTTTCTTTCCCCACCCCACCCCCACCATTACTCTCTCTCTCTCTCCCTCTCTCTCTCTCTCTCAAAGAAATAAACATATCCTCAGGTGAGGATTAAAAAACAAGAGGATCAAAGTGGTTAAATGCCCTACACAAAGTCACATGGCACCTACCTCTCTGCCACAAAGCCCCCTAACTCTCCCAGCACTTTCCCCAAAACATATCCTCAACAATTTCTTAGATTCATTCTTTGTTCTGCCTTGCCATAGCCACTGTCACGAGGGCATTTCTTTGACCCTTGAGATCCAGTCCTTGCAAGTGTCACTGGGCCAGTCTCCTTGCTTTGATTCATTCTATGTGTCGTTTTAACCAAATCTTGGCTTGATTCAGTTTGCTTTACAGTCAAGCAGTTCAGGCGACTCATGGTTATTGGTTACGTTAAACATCAGCCCTTCAACTTAGTATTCAACAAGAGATGCCCCACAGTGGTGGGGGGTGGGGCGGCCATGGCCTTCCTCTGCCATGGCTGGGCCTCAGCAGAGTGCACAGTGGGAGGGCTGGGAAGGTGGGAAGAGAAGTGGATGGGGGCTGCAGGGGAGCCCTGCAGCCCCAGAGAGTCCCACAGCTGTGGATGGCTGTATGCTCCGGTGACAGGGATAGGGCAGAAACTAGAGATGGCAAAGGGACAGGAGGGTCAGAGCCACTGAGCTGGGGCCTTGAAATTACCCCACCAGGGGGGCCCCAGACCCTGGCACCTGCTGAGTCCCCCTTGGAAGCCCTCTAGTTAATAACCCCCCACCCCAACTTAGGCATCGCTCCCCCGCCCCACAGCTGCCTTCTGTATGAATTTTGCACCACGTCATCCTATAAGCCTTCCACCA